TTCGAGGACAGTGAGGATGTCTCTAGCCTTGTTGACAACTTCTAGGGAAGCATGTTGAACGCGGATGATCATACTGCGACACAAACAACCTGGTCATAGTAGCCTCGACTGTCCTTATGGGACTGGAAGAGATAGCAAATCCTCCTTTCTCTCTGCATGGTCAGCTTGCGCTCCTAGCTAATCGGTAGCGAATAGGGTCGCCAGGCAAACGCACGCAAAAATGTGCTCTTGTTCCCGGTACGCGCCAGTTTATTGCTTGCGTGAGAGACACTTGCTTACCTTGGTTTAGTAGTCTGGTACCTCTGTTCGCAAAGAAAGCTGAACCTACACCTCTAATATGCTCCATTTGCTGGGAACCCCTGAGGTTACTCCCCCTCCCTGCCGCTACTATCATTGACCTAACGGCCTCATCGGCCGAGGCCTCGCCCGTCCCGCCTTCTGCCATCTACAGTATGATATCATTCGGTCTCGACTACACTGGAATCGAAGCAGCGGTCCCGGACATATTTTGCAGCCCTTGTCAGGTCGCGAGCGGTGTTGGATATTGTCGCCGGTCTTGACTTCCGTTCTTTTCACACGGTCCAGCCGCGCGCGGGTGTCACCGACGAGAATGCGCAGTACTTTTTCCCAAGAGGAAGCACCCTCTTAGTTGGCAAATCAGTGCTGCTGGCTGATGGATATATGGGCTCAGCTCTGCGAGGGCATCCTCGTGACTAGCGCTGACCAGCTTCCTCCCGGTTAGGTGTGCGGCATATGCTGCATGGACGCCTTCGAGATGTGTGTCGGTGGCGGTTGTGGACAGAAGTGCAATAACTGTATGCAGATCGATCACAAGTCCTGATCCTTGCAGAGGGTGCAATAGCCTCTGAGCAATGAAACGTTGGTGCAAAAGTTCAGATCGAGCCCTCATTTACTTACCACATTACTATGGTGTTTGTGGCCTGCTGGGCAGTTGCGCGTCAGAACCAGAAAGGGTTCAGAATCCTTCTTCGTTCACTGAACTTTTCGATTACTACCGACTGGTCTGGTCTAGAGTCTGCCTGTCAGCTTCCTTAGTCAGCGATTATGAATCCTGGGGACTCAATGAAATGAGTGAAGAAGAGTGCTGTGTCTTCTGGACTACACTTGGTCAAGGGAATCAACCCAATGACATACGTTATTCTTTCTCAAGCTTGAGATACTGACCAGCCAAGCTTAGCCCTCAGCCATGACATTAATCAGGAGCCAGTGGGGATGGGCTATGCTAAATTAGGCGCTCGAGCATTGGGACTACCCCTGATGGCTGACCAGTACAATCAGAGCAATGATGGAGGACCTGTCCTTGGATGACGCCCTGTTCGACAAACCCCCGCGCGAATCATGCAGCAGCAGCAACATGAGCAGAAAGATGGAATGCTAGACGCCCACGCCCTTGGTGCCTGTGCATTAACCTCACATCTCCGGTCGTACCCACCCTGATGCAGATAGTGAAGGCGAGGATAGCGACGACAATGACACATACGAAACTGCCGCTGAGCAAACATCCTACGAGACAGCGCTATGTAGCAGCTGTCATTGCGACTCTCCAAAGCCCACAAACATCAAGTCCAACATTACGAGAAAAGTGTCTTAAGCGTGAGGACACTCGCCGCGGTTCATCTGGAGGCTTGAGACAGATGAATGGAAACTGGCACTCTGAGAGCTACAAACTCAGCTCACATTGAAGCAGCGCATATCATACCGTCAGTCTTTGCAAGATGACACAACCCCAGGTATCAGAGTCTCTAACCCGTCATAAATCGGGCCACGATATTTTGCGCAGGGAGCCTGCTTGCAAGCGAATGTGCTGTACCTGTGCTACCTTGGTCAAGTGACGGTTGCAGAATGTTCTGGAAGAAAGGACCAACACCACTGCCTACATCTAGAATATCTACAACGATGGCAAAGTCTTTGCGTGAACATCATCAGGTCTAGTATCCGAAAGTGGGCTACATCATTGCAAATTGACATGACTTTCAAACAGAAAGTTATGATCTGATCACAGTTAAGGGGCAAAAGCGAGGCTTCTGCAAGCCATGTGTACAGCTATATACCACTTAATAGAAGCTTTTACAGCGGCTGAGCCAGCACTTCAGCAAGCTGTGGAGGAGGTTGAGATTACCGGTTTATCGTCGGCGTACTACTACACGGTATTCGATCTTTCGAAAGACAGAACTGGAGTGTTCGAGTCTAGGACGATGTCTGCTTTACTAGAATCCCCTACCAGCAACGGAAGCGTGGGTCAAAGGAGACGGGTCAGGCCACATCTGCTCTTCGGGGAGCTATACTTTGGAATGGGGAGAATGGAATTGGAAGACAAGACCTTGTGTCTGATTATTACGAAGGACAAGACATTCCAAACCGTCAACGTGACCCAACTTCTTTGCGAAGGGCTAGATGTGAAGCTTCTGCCTGGTACAATATCAGCCACCTGGGATGCTTGACCAGATCTCACACAGTCGAAACTGAACAAGAAGCAGGAGAAGAGAAGGGGTCGTCCGGGTGTCGAAAGAGTGGAACTATCGCGTCAGTTTGACTATACTCATGCGCGCTCGCGCTGTCTTGAAGGACCTAGGACTCGACCAGGAACTCTTGGGAGAGATAATGAAGAGAGTCGAGTTTTTGAAGAATCTGTCGCCCATGAAGAACAAGACGATTGCGGCCTGGGGAGGCACTTCACGAAGAACGATTCAACCTACGCATTCTGGGTTGTCATGGCACGATGACGATACCTGCAGAAGTGAGGAATGTCCGCGTGTGGGAAGAGTGGACAGAAATTGGAATGCATAAGGCAGGGGGCAAGCAACTGTTAAACCAGCAACTGAGGACGACGGTCCCGAAAAGCGATGATCTCGAGTCGAGAACCTCAGAACTGTACCCCATTGGAGATCATGGTAGAACTACAGACTGATGAAAAGAACCCGAATGGACGCATGAAGTTCTTGGTGGAAAGGCACGTGTACAACTCGCTCGTAAGTCGAGCACATACGATGCCGGTGATACCTACTGGATAGCAGTAATGGTCGACCAGGCATTATCAATGACACTTGCGAAAACACCCAACGAAATCGAGGACCTACTTGAAGGACCAGAGGCAGAACAGCAAACAGCTCACAGAGTACACAGACAAGTCCTTTCGCAATGATTCCCAAAACATTACGCTACCAGGACAGGGAGGACCTCGAAGCCTTACTGACCTTGAGGACTAGGCGGGAGCTCATTCTGGTAGCTTCTCCTGCATGGCAGGAAAAACTGCGAAAAACCAATAGCAGGGCGCAAAAATAGCGCTGTTCGATGAGCGTCCTTCTGCCATCTTCCACCTTCCACATCCAAGATGACCTGGATGTTGAAGTCATGATGCTGCACAGTTTTGAAGATACTGTCACAGTCTAGGCGGTATGGATCCGCGCAGTCACCTTCATCATGGAGACTAGGCTTGTTGTCATGCTGCTCCTATGCTCCTGCACGTCCGAAGTCAGAGACAACCGGGATGGTAACCTATTCTCAAGCCCTGAGCAGGTGCTCGAGGCATTTACTTTTTTACTCGGTGTGGGCTTTGAGAACTTCATAAAGGCCAAGAAGCAGAAGCCACGGAGAAAAAAGGCAATTGCGATTAAGAAAAAGAATGAGGTTGGAGGAAAGGACTCAGACAAGAACAGGCTAGCGAGGCTTACTGGTCTGATCGGCAAGCCATTGAACAGTCTTCTTAAGCTCGGATCTAGAAATTGCACATTGAAGAAGCCAATTTCATCTCCTGAAGGTGATATCAGCCCTCATATTGAGCTTCGAGAAAAGCAATGGAACTGCAAGCCGTGATGTCGACAACTTCCACAATGTTAGAGCTGCGACTTTAGATTGTCTCCTGAACGAACCAAACAGATATATTCGACTGAAGGGAAGCAAGATTGGCTAGTGCTGTGGACATCTATGAAAGACAAGTAAGTCAGCAGAGAAACCCTTGCTCAACATATTCTGCAATGGCACAAAGCCAGAAGTCACATGGAATTGACCGTCTTCAGGATGGAGTGCTTGATCACAAGCTCTGGAGGGGACAAAGGCTTTCCAGTCCTGTCAGCTCTTGACAACTTTGTGCAGCCCTTTGCCGCCCTTTGCGATGGCTGTTGATCCGAAATATAACACTGACCTCCCACTCATCGATGAAGGCGATTATGCAACCGGGGCCTCGGCCTTCGAGCGGCATATGCTGAAGTTATTTATGGTCCGCAGCCAGGAAGACCTCGGAGCACGATTGCGAACGATTCGCAGCTGCCTTTGACAAGAAACATGCTGAGCTCCTATGAATCTTCCTTGGATGCTGTCGTTTAGTCCAGTCAACCTCGAAGTTATTGCATATGGTCGATTCTGTTGAGCCAGTATTGTTCGGGTCTGCTTATGCCTCCAGGGTAGCACCCGCCCTTACCCCTACACCAGCGGTCCCTTCCTGTAATGTCACGAGTTAGCGCCCGTTGATTGAAGGGATTATAACCTGGCTCGTCGTGACGGAATCAATTACTGAGGTCAAATCCTGTTACCGTTCACCCCTTGCAAAACATACCATCACCTTGAGCAAGAAGCTGCACGTCTACTGGGGGATGGGTGCCTCCATATTATGACAGAGTCAGGGTCCATCTACTGACGATGCAACTCCCAGGAGAACCCTTCCTGGCTGCCATCGCATAAGTAATGGTACGCCGACATAATCAGTCGACTAGAACTCCCTCTCGCATCGAGGAAGGAATGGACATAGTCCACAAAGCCGATAGAAAGCCGATAGAAGCCCAATTCCATTGTCGCTATCACGAGGATTCTGGGCTTGTAAAGTCTAGGACCGGTACCGTTTAGAAACCACTGACGAGACAGAATGGCCACTTCCGAGCTGTGAGCCATTGGCCATGCAAGTGACCTTGACACGTCTTCTACGGCTCTCAGGCGTTCTGATAACTTGTTGGGACAGCAGTCTATGGGCAAAGTGCAGCCTAAACATGTCTCCACTGCATCTATGGGATTCCCGCGGCCAAGCCCTTCTCCCAATGGACGAGTTTCACGGACAAGGATGTCTCCTCCCAGCCCTAGAGATCGCGGTACGCGAAATCTCGGTGAGCACTTCAGCGAAGCGTCAAGTGAACAGATCCTGACTGAGCTGCCACAGCAGGATAGAGCTGTGATGCAAGCGTGCATTGATTCGTTCTGCCTCGTTTTGTAAGGAGATGGGGTCCACGCTCCAGAAATGCTTCTTGAAACTCAATCAACGGTGGAGAGATGAGCTTGCAAGAGCACTGAGCGGCTTCACCGAACAAGCCCAGGACTGGCAGTCTGGAACAATAGACTGGGAGTGCGGGGACATCGCAGTCCGCATGCAAACATCCCGACACTGAGTGATGATACGCGATCCTTTGTCTTCAGTTACTCTAGCAATATTCCTGGCTAGTCCGCAGTGAGCTGGGCGAAAACCATATGCCACTAGCCAAGGCTGGAAAGAAGGAACGTCTCGCAAAGAAGAAGAATCAGGAAGAGAAGAAGTCTGTGGTGAACGGGGTGGAGAATGACGAGAAGGCAGACATTGATATGTGCTTTGGAGCTTCTTCGCCAAGTGACAGAGGTATTTATCATTACGGGTTTGTGCTTAGAAGACCGCTCGAGCTGGTGATAAGCAAGAAAGACGACTTTCGGTCATATCAGTGCTACTTACCACGAGTATGAGACGCTCATAATGGGCCGGTTCGATGATTATGGCATTGAATTCGCAGGGAAGGTTGACTGGTCGCTGTGCTATGGCGACGGCAACGATAATGTCGAGCAACTTGTCATCACTAAGATAAGAGTCAACTTCAAAGAGGTCTTAGCCCTTCTCACTGATATGACGCCTTTTTCACAAAGAAGTGGTCTGTTATTTTCGCAATGTGTTGGGATAGCTCGCACACAGTGCGGCAACACGCCTTCAGCACCTGGTGCTCGACATGGGCCAGGGATTCTCTACCGAGCCAGACACGAATGCATCAGATATAGCTCTAAGAAAAGGATAGGTATCTTTCACACTTGTGGCAATTCCATGCCGGAGCTTGAATATTGCGTGGACCGGCAAGCAAAGGTAAAGGCGATTCGGGATGCGTTAGCCCTGGCGAAAGTTTTGCCGGGAAATGAGAAGTTTTTTTTCAAGGCTGAAACTGCCTTTGGAACTGTAAGTTCGTCTCATCATATTCTGTCCCATATGAAAACTGACGGATGATTTTAGGTCAATTGACTGCTCCGAAAATATTAAATCCACACAGGCCTCTGTAACAAGTGGTCACTGAAACTTCCATGAACGATGGTAATATCCAGTTTGAATACAGCAGTCGACAAGGTGGAATTACTCCTCTTGACTTTCTCATTATTGCTGATCGTTATCTATATCTAATTAAGGTAGAATGATATTGGGAATCTGGCATTCGAGCTCGGGGCATGAAGTTAGTAGGTTCCTTGTTATCTAGCCCTATGCGCGGGCATTATCTTGGGCTGCATGCATTCAGCTGCTCCGACGAAGCGGGTGCGACTTGGGCTCAGCATCGCTGGTCGATAATAGATACTCGAGCTTGTAGACATCTAAGGCTGTCCATTATTCGCTTAGATTCAAAGAAAGAGTGAATCTTACACCTGCAGCTCCATAAAAGAGACAATATCAAGGCAGCGAGCCGGCATCGATCCGGCGCCTAAGGCATCAGCATGTTTATGCCTGACTTTCAGGGCAGAAAGGTACCCGCATCAGGCACCAACATACGTCTGCCTGGCGGATTAGGCACTCAAGGGCTTCCCTTCTCGGCGAACCAGTGCGAACATATACCCCCCCGTTATGTATAGCTAACAAACACCAGGGTAACCATAGATAAGCGGGTTGGCCTCCGCTCCCAGCTTTGGAAGTCCTGGGTACGAGATCGCGCGCTGTCGCGGCCTCGTCTGCAAAACCACCCCGGGGGTTTTCGTAGCCTTTCCCCTCCACGCGCAGCCGCGGTGAGCTTTTTGCAATTTGACTATGATATCGTACCAACTCCATTGTAGAGATGATTCTTGATGTTTATGAGGTTCCCAGCGCCTTCTTTGTGGTCTTTTTGGATGGCTTAGTTGGCGGGCTGTGCTTGTACGCAGGGGGAGGGAACATGAGGTTATTCGCGATGGCCAGGATACCACTGGGATTTCTTGTTCTCTACACTCTGCAGTCGCGATGATGAGCTTTGCCTTGGCTCCTAGTATACTACCAAGCAAGCCAGTCTCTTGTTAGATGATCTTTTGCCCATCCTCATCTATCTAGCCATTTCGCTCTGTATTTGGTGTTGCCTCACCGACCGTCCTGGCTCATCGCCATCCCCAAGTTCGACGGCGTGACTTTCCAGTCGGTAGCCACTTCCTCCCACACATGTCAGAGTAATCCCAGGACGAGGAGACATCCATCCGAGTACGACTTTTTCTCACGACCCACATGAGGTTACAGCCATTTCAGGATATTTGAGAGTTCACACTCAATCCTTTTCCCAACACACATGGCCTAGCTCTCTGATTTCCAGTCCTTTTTATTTTACAACCACCCTTGTATGCTAACAGACCCCTCATTTTTATGTTCTACTAGAGTTTTCCTGCCAGCAGACGAACCTTCTCAGCTATACCCTCCGTAATCACCAAGCACATGTCGCATCAACAAACAGCACTCAGATCATCCCCTACCAGAAGGCTGAAGTGTTTTGCAGGCATACAAGCATCATAATGAGGAGCTCCAAGGCCTCCATAGTGAAACAATGATTTTTTTTCTTCCGTGCTCTTGAGGTTGTTCTCTCATCCTTTTAGCTTTTTTTTGTCTTTGCTTGCATTCATCCTTTCGACCAAGCTCTCACCAGTTCTTTCCTTTCAACTCCACACCAAGAGAACCTCCACACATGCATCACAAGGCTAAAGCAAAGACTCTTCTGAATCTATCTTCCGAGACCTTTTCGCAAACAAAGCCTGCAGCTGAATTCCCCCACATTGCGATCGGACGTCCTACACACGTTGATCCAAATGTTATTCCCGAGACCCAAGCGACTCAGCCCTACCGTACCTCATCGCACTTTACTTTCAGAACGCTTACAGATATACTTCATCAAACGTCCTTTGTCGAGTCGACCTTGAAATACACCTGACAATGCCCTTTGAAGCCCCGTACGCCTACTGCTAGGATCGAGTCCTGCTATAAATTCACAGCTCGAACCAACGAACTTCCACACCATCGACCTCCCACTCTGCAATTTATACACTCCTACACTACACTCACTTTCACAGCCCAAGCACAGGGCCATCCAATCACACAGCATCTTATTATTTTCGAGTGGAAGAGACAAGATGGCTCGCAGATTCGAACAAGCCATCCTGGCCGGCGAAGTGGCCGTCATCGGACCCGGGGCCGTGGGCAGCATTACCTTCGCCGCTCCAGGCCCAGACTCCAGAGAGAACAAGAAGGGCAATAAGAGTGGCAAGATCGAATTCAGAGCCATCGGAACTGCAAAGCTCCTGAGCAATACCGCCGCGGTCGTGGTCATGATCGGCAGCGAGTGCGTGGTGCTCGCAAACATTCCTGCACCCCTTGAGCCCAACGAGACAGTTGAAGCAGTGACCCGGAACTCGATGAATACATTTCTAGAAGTGTGTTACCGCACGATAAGCCCCGTGGCGCCCCGGAGTTATGTGATTGTCGATGCCATCGGCCCCAGGAACCGGGCCTGGAAGCTCCCTGATCGAGTGAGCCTTATCCGGAGAATGCTGAGTGATGCGCAACCGGGGGCTGTACCGTCAGAAGCTGGGTATGTGTATCACCGCGTCGCGCCTGATGTGCCGTTTGGACACGTATTTGTGGATGCCAGGGTTCATCCGCCGAAGCTTTATGTGAATGATGTGGAAAAGATTCGGGTCTCGGGTTTGTTGATCGCAGAGGCTAAATAATGGCATCTACTACACCTGGGTGGTTTCCTTCCCCCGGGCGCGGGAATAGGTCCCGTTACGGTATGGAGGCGAGCGAACCCCTGGCACTTGCTTCGATTGATGCCCTAGTACTATCGGTGGTATGTACGTGTGCTGGCCCTGTCTGGGGCCGAGGCTTAGTACCTTAATAATTTCCGAAGAAAAAGAATACTAATGTTGATTACTTGAATTACCTAGTGTTTGTTTCAAATCTCCTCCTTCTCTCCTACTATTCTCATATTACTCTTGAACGAATGAAATCGATTGGCCCCGTTGGGAAACATTGAGCGATGGCGACATTACGAATGTATCGCATGCATCATCAGCGACAGGCTATGACCGCTACCTACCACCAAGAACATACCTCTGACCAGAGGCTGTCACATGTAGTCTTATAAATGCCTCAGGCAGAAACACTGACTTTCCTAGGACAAACTCAGGGTTCATTCCTGCATGTTATCCCCGCCGTATGCCAACCCCCCCCCCTCGAATGTAGCATCCATGTATTCATCATCTCCCTTTTTCCAAAAGAAAACAAAAGACTTTATCGTTATTTATCAGCTTCCAGCTCAGAATCAACTTGCTGTGACTTGAACAAAGTATTATATGCCAAGGGATGTGGCGTGGAGCTAGCTAGTCTAGTCGGTGTTAATTAGTGCTTGATGTCTTAGCCGTTGCGGATGGCTCTTGGTAGTACAGTACAAGAGGAATAGATTTGGGGTGTGAGCAGCAACACCCATAGGGCTAATTGCTAGAACTTGCTATACGAGTGGACAGTAGAGGCATGTTTAATCCTGTGTAGCTAGCTACTTACTATTATTGTCGACAGCCCGCCCTAACGAGAGGAAGAAATAAGATGCTTATTTGCATGCAAGACCAGTCTTAGCGGGATGGGCTAGGCCGGGTTGGTTGCAGGGATGTTCATGTGTGTTCTACAGCTAGAAGCTGATTAGCGCCCTACCCCACAAATTCGGCAAGGGAGGCAGAATCGTAAGTTTGGGAGGGCTTCCATTTCTTCTATAGGATTTTGCGTTTGGGGTCTGTACGGGGGTATCCATGTATGGTAGTACATAGGCCGATCGATGTACTCAGTATTCTACACCCAAATCATCTTCGCTATTTCCAAGACCAACCCCAAAACCACCATCACCCTACGAACCCTCTTTAATGATGGCCTCAACATCCTCCCCAGAAACCTCCATCGACACCTCTCCTTCCACCCCTCCTCGAACCACCGCACTCATCGTCCTCTCGGGTAGGAAGCCCCACCCCACGGTACTTACCTTCTTCATCGATGCATCATGCGCAATGCGCAATAATAATCCATACTTCTGGCACTGCATCCAACTTCATCAAACCCCTCAATCATCCACTCTTCCTCCGCCAGATCATGATTCAACTCCGGCGCGAGTCAATAGAACGACTGTGTCCGCGGCTTCTGCGCCGCCCAATTTACCGCCTCAAACCACTCGCCGCGGCCTTCTGGGAATGCCAACTCCGCGGAGCACAGGCGAAGGCCGAATCTCCTCGAGAGGGGCACGAAACGTTGACATAATTGGCGGTGGTGCGCGGGAGGGCGCAGATGTGCGCGACTGTGTGGCTGGGGGTGTGAAGGAAGTGGATCTGGTATCGTGGAAGTGGTCGTGGGCTTCGAAGCGGGCGATGCAGTTTTGTTTATTGTGCGCGGGGTTGAAGTTTATTTCGTGGATGGTGCTGCGGTTGGTGAAGGGGTGTTAGTGGAGGGGAGGGGGATGGGGTTGGTTGTGTAGCCTGTCTGGTAGAAAGGTTGGTTGGAAGCCCAGGCCGACGATGAGGGCGGTGGTTGTCGGGAGTTGAAGGTGGTGAGGTCGCTGGTGTGATCGAAGTGTGGGTAGCTCTATATTACGGCGTCGATAGTGCCGCTTAGGATGTCGAGGTCGAAGAGGAGGTTTGGGAGGAGGGGATGTGTGAGATTAGGAAGGAGAAGCTAGGCACTGACCCGGTAGCGGTCGCAGCCTTTGTAGGGACGGATGTTAGATCGAGGCGCGAGCCACTGCGGTTTGATGTTTTGGTCAGTGGTGGTCGGTTGGGTTTGGGCCGTACTGTACTCATTGATCAAGTGGGCTGCTGTACTTGTCGATGATGGAGACCCGCACCGTTTGGTCGGCGGGTGGGATGGCGATCGGGAGCGGTGGACGGGAAATTCAGAATGGAGGTGGTCATGCTTCGTTGGTAATGCCTTCGTAGAGCTGGTGGAAGGGCGCAGGATAAGGATACGATCGATGAGAAGTGGTGTAGGTGATGCTTCCTGCGTTGTCGTCGATGTTGTAGATGCGATGATGATGTCACCGCCGGGAGATCTCTGGGAGAGGGCGGCGGCCCGCCATGAAACTGCCGTCGCACCTCCGCTCCGCCCGCTCCGCTTCACATCCGCCTTTGAATGCTCCTGGGCAGGTCTGAATAGCATCACGCATCTTGAAGCAGTGTTCCAAGCTTTTTATGTTCCGGCTAGAGCTTCAATTAGCATCGCTCTCATACTATCGCATAATAAAGTCTATCTTATTCAAATCTTCCATTTTTTCTTAGCTATAATCTACAGGCTAAACTGTTCTTACGCATCTCCTACCAAAACCCCGCCCCTATGGCTACTGCAGCATAATCCAACAACCTCATCCTTATAGCTTGGGCCCTGACTGCGGCTTCGGCGGATAGTAGATGTTTTTTTCACGCGGCCAACCGACCAGTATCGTTTGCGGACAACCTCACGACGGCTGTATTGTACCCAAGAGTAGAAATCAAGATACGAGAGCTGTGCAATTACACCGCACAATACCTCAGCGAATGCGTTTGTTGGAAGCCTTGGAAGTGGTTCACGCCACGGATGTGAAGCATGGCCTGACATCGCCATACGATGCCTTCCGGTGGGTGAGGCATGGATCGACGTCAAGGCGACTGCGGCGACTCATCGGCATATCGAGGTGACACATGCCAAGGGTGTATCTTCTGTAGGCAACATAGCATTCGAATGTATCCCGAGGTCGTAGATACAGTGAGTGTACTCAATCGCCTTGAATGCATAGCAAGTATAGTGTACATGCCAAACAGCACATTATACTCCATCCAATCATCATAAACATTCTCACCGCATCAAACAAGTTTACCTACCTCAAGAATTCGCCTCCCTCCATTCAAGCGAGCAGGGAAGCAAAGCAAACAACCCCTACATCATATTCAACCAAATAACTCCCCGTCATCATCAAAAGTCCCAAGTGGCAACCTACCCGTCGCGAAGTACTGCCCCCTACAGGTACGGTACAGGACATATGCATCACCACACCACCGTGGCACCTCACACCACTTACCTTCCCATCAAACCCGGGGCCCGGGGCCCCAGAATAACATCATACCCTACGTAGGTACCATCCCCCCAACCATACACACCAAAGCAACCGAAGTGGACCCAACGCCCCAAAAGCCTCAATCAGCCCTACCACACCACACCATCCCACACCAAGCAATGACATGAACTCAACCCAACCCATTGCCCCAAACCCTACGTCAAGACCAGAGCCGCATCCCCCCATCCAGCCCGCGAATCCTTCCACAACTGTCCTGAGGTACCCAGGAGCAAACCTACTCCACCGCACACCTAGTGCTCAACCAAGTATCCGCCCCCAAGGTCCATCCCCACACCCACTCAACATCAAACTCAATGATCGAAGCAATGACACAAATGTGGCAATTGGCCATAGAAGCTGAGCCCCGGGCGGCGGTGCTACGGAAAGGTGGGTACTAACCCGTGTAGTACAATTCACGGTGTTGACGGTATGGCATGGCATTGGATGGGAAGATGTGCAAGTCACCCGATTGGCGGGTGGGCGGGCGGGCAGGAGTAAAGGTGAAAGGTACAGGGGCCCGGGGGTTGCATCATCGTTGCGTTACGGGACCTTGAACTTTTCACATACAGTATGTAAGTTACTGATAGTTTAGGCGAGGGTTTCGCTGGGAGAGTTGCCGGTGGGAGGGATGGGTTGATTGTGGAGTAGGTTTTTGTTGAGTATTTCCTCTTTGATTGTAGGTTTTGGATTGAGGGAGGGTAGGTACGTGTAATTGAGTTGGGTTGTGGGGGTGATTTGACTCATACATGAATACCTCTTTGCTGAGTTTGCTCAAGTTGTGTGGTTCTGATTAATCGGGTGCATTAAACTAGATATGCATCCTTTATACGCTAGACTGGTTTCGGTTATCCACTTCCTCCGTGGGTCACATGAGTTGGCCTGGGGGATTCTGGGGATGTCTGGTCTGGGGTTTTGAGTCATTGAGTAGAAACTAAGCAGACGATTATCAGGAATGATTGACAGGTAAGAAGACTATACAGCCAATCATTGAAGAGAGCAGGATGTTTGACTTGTTTTTTTCATTTTGTTATTCATTTTGAGATGTTTTGATCTGGAGGTTTGACTTTTTGATAGACACAAAAAAAATGTAAATACATTCCCAATCCATATCCAATGCTCTGTGCTGTCTGGCCGCATCCCAGTTCGCTGTGCTCCGATCCTTTCTGCAATTAGCACCGTTGATCATGTAAAATAGCTATGCACACCGACGCCAAGCTAGTAATGGAACCCGTCCACAAGAAAAAGAAAAGATGATCGAAATTCGAACTCCGCTGGTTATATGTATAGATGAACAGATGGTGGTGGTAACAGGTTGAAACGAAAAAAATGAAAATCGTAGCTTCGTGGCGTCATAATTAGATATTAGAGGTGGTAGGTTTGTGGTGGATTTTCGGGATTTTGTTTGGTCGGATTTGAGACATGTTTTGTAGGCGAAGAGGTGAGTCGTTTTGAAGATAGGATGTCGAGGTATCAAGAGAGTTGAGAGATGGGTTGAGTAGTTGATAGCGTCGTGGAAAATCAACCTGCAATCCGAACAGGCAGGCATTGACCCGGCGAGGGCCAGAAGTGTTTCCTTTGCACCGTCTTCTCCAAGCAGTTGCGGCCCTTCTCGAGAAGCCCTTCCTTCTCCTTCTCCTTATCGGCAGCTGGAGGTGCCGAGACGTGGAAGCTCACGTGGACTGTGGTGGTCTCCAGTTCAGAGGTAGCTTTGTCGGCAGGCTCAGTGGAGGCCGGCTTGATCGAAGTGAGGTCTTCGTCCTTGCGGTCGTCGGGAAGCTTCTTGTTCTCATCGTCCCGGTCCTCCTCATCCTCGGACTCGTCGTCCTCCATCTCGAACGAGTTGATGCGCGTCGACATATCCTTCTGCGCCCATTCCATGGACCGGCAGTGCAGGCGGAAGTGACCAAGGCAGCGACGGATGTCCGGGTCGGGAGCAGTGGCCTCGCGGGCCAATTTCTGACGCGACAAAGTGGTGAGCTTGTAGGGGAGGGAGGTCTTGTCGGCAAGAGGGGGCCAGCGCTTATTCATGGAAGGGTTGTTGGAGGACAGCGGAGAGGAAGAGGTCTTAGGGATGATATCGATGGTTGTAACCGCCATTGTGTTGACGAACTGGTGATATAATAGATATGATGATGATGATGATGATTCAAGATCACTTTGGATGAATACTCCCTAGGTGGGAGTGTCAAGATGTGACTCAACTACTTGGATGAGATTAAGTGCTAGTCGCGCGTGCGAGTGCAGTGTGGTAGATGTGGATACAATGCCTAGGAGAGTGGCTTGAAGGCGCGGAGATTGGCTTTTTGAGTGATCTGGAGTGAAAATCTGGAAAGAAGAAGAAAGAAGAGGGAGAGCCAGGATGAGGAGAGGGGGGAGGTAGAGAGAAGAAATATGGCGGAGGGGAGTCGGCAGAGGGTTCTGGAGGAGCTGGAGGGGAGAGGGGGGAGGGAGGGAGGAACCGCGCCCAGCACCTTGCACTGCACTGCACACTGCAGTGGGAAAATTACCACAGTAGTGGTGACGGAACTCCGAAAAGAGAAATCCGGGTTGGTGAGTCGTGACCATCTGATCTGGCAGATTCTGCAAGCGGAAGATCCCCGGGTCTAGACTCGTTATACCACACGCCTATTTACCTGTGCACCACACTATTGTATGTATCAAGCCACCACGTTTTCTGTACGAAAGGGTATGTATTGTTCCCCTGCCTACATTCGCTACAGCCATCATGCTATCGATTCCCTCCATCGGGTGATGATTGAGAGTCGTGGTGAGCGACAGGGATTAAATCTGGACGGCAGAGAGTATGAGTAAAATTCAGTTGGGAGGAGGCGAAAAAGGGAACGCGCACGTCTTCCCACATGGAAAAAGGTATGTACGATGTACAGTCAGCATTCGGATGATCTTTACTGCTCTCCAGTCCTGGTTACCGGGGAAAGCAGTAGAGAAAAAAAAGAAGAGTCAAAAAAGGGCCTCGACTTGACTCCACCTTACAAAACTGGTCGGGCAGCTGACCTTTGTAGTGGGTCCGGGTCCGACGGCAATCCATGGAATGTTCGACACCGGCGAGCGAGTCTGGTCAGGCTTGGGAACTGGAGCGAGGTTCTCTGCCTTAGTAAGAAAGTGAGTTGGCTGTGGGCGCGCGCGTCTCCGGGAGTGGGCTTCCGCTGAGTTTTTTCCAATTGTGTCAACCTCTCGCGACCTCTTTTCTCTGATTGTCTCTCATCGATACAAAAGCCCATATCTTCCATCTCGATAACAAACCCACGAAAATGAGGGGTAAGCAGGTCGGTTTTTCCAACGGCCATTGACCCTGTCCCATGTGCAGCTCCAGAACTTTAGAATGCCTGAACAAGCAGCAAGGGATATGCGTGGTCGTCCGCGTGATTGGCCCAAATCTGCGGGGTCGTGATCCGAAAGAGGACTAGTGCCCCTTGCTAAAGACAGTAACACTAATCCAGATCGGCCCTAGAGCAACCCTGCCCTGTGCGCTTAGGGTTGCAGGGGAAACGCTCGCCGGTGTGCATGTGGGCATTGGGGAAGGGAGAGCAAAAATCCAGTGTCCAGGTGATTCTATAACGACCTAGAACCTTAATACTTGCTCTGTGCTGTTCCTTCGGCGCTTATTCCTCCTAATAAACCTGGCGGGGTTGGGAACTAGTTTCGGAGTGCCCCTCGACTCGTAGTCAGGTACGCGCATCTTGGTTTTTTTCATCTTTTTTTTTTCGTTTCGCTGCACTTTCCTATTCCCCCTTTCCATGTAGATTACTAAATCTGCTTAGCAACAGCAATATCGACCGAGTCAATGATGAACGACTCGGGATCGGTTTTCTGCTCTATGAAAGCCGATCAGTGGCGCATGACTAATCTTCCTTTCCTTTTCTCCCCAAAGGCCGTCAAGAAAACAATGAGCCAAAAAGTCACCTAACCCGATTCATCACACCACAACAAGCATGATGTCAAAAAAGGTTCTTCTACGGAGTACGGTCGGCGCAATAAACATTTTCCGAATGTATTCAACCCCCCCCCCCCCCCCGGGGTTACGAAAACATGATCTCATTCATTGTTCATGATTGACAACATGACAATGATTCGGGAGGCGAACCTTAAGGTTAATCAGAAGGTTTTTCGTGGATCGACTTTCGTACTTTCTGGTCCTTGGTTTGGCTCTCCAATAATTTTGTCCGTTTCCAGAGCGATTGGACTGGAAGCATTCCCTTCGGTTGGAGTGGGTTCTGGGGAATGCGATCCGGAGAGAGACAAGAAAGAGAGGATGGGAAACCTTGAAGGGAAGGGATGTGCGACAGCAGAGTATGAGGTGACTTTGCGATGTCGATGTCCAATGTCGAATGTCAAATCTCATGGTTGATGATGGACATCAAGCGCAGTGATGACGGCATACCGTGTTATCTATCATGGACACATTCTTTTTGTGTTTGTTCACGCCATTTGCCTTGGAAACCGAGCATGGCGATTGATTTCTTAGGTTCTTTGGCTGTTGGCTGGTGTCCTGAGTGTGCAGTCGCAAGCCACGGAGAAATTAGTCTCCATCGTGAGATAGATAGACCACAATGGCCCCCCCGTAATGCCCGGTATCAAACTAAAATTCCCGTAATTGACCCGGTCTGGCCTGGCCTAGCCTGGATCGAGTTCGCGAATGGACCACGTAACTAGGATGTTACTGAGTGACACCGGCTAATCATGGATGTCTTCCATGCCTTCCCGTGGCATTTTTCCCACCACTGGGAGTCGTCCTGGATCAGCTCGTGGGCGCTGACTGGTGTAAGAACTGCGCTGGATTTACGGTGACACTCAGGCAGCCAGCACTGTATCAAACCGCAGGACCCGATCAGACCCGATGTATCTGCCAACTATGTCCGGAGTCTTCCGACGACAATGCCTTGATCACAGCACCGCAACAACAATAGAGCACTACGACTCATTCGGGACACGCCACAACCGCTATCCACCTCATCTTTTGGTGATAGCACAGTTCACTTGACTGGGACCGGAAAAGCCACACGAAGCGTCCAGAGCACATCATCCGTCTCCCGGCGGCCGTACGGTACTGCAGCGTTCTTCTTCTTACAAGCCGCTTACACCATCCATCCATGTGTGGCTGCAGGTATACTTTTCGAAGTCCAGTAGTTTACTGTACGGCGTGCCGTACAATTCGATCAAGAATAACCCTGATTTGATTCGATTCGATCGTGTGCCCCCGATTCGATTCGATCTCACGGTCGGTCCCCGCAGCTCGGTTTTGCTCGTGGTCATGGTCTTGGGCGCCCAACTCTACCGTCTGTACATACTTAGTAGATTGATGAAAAGCCGGAGCCCTCTAGATCTTCCGTATGGTCCATCGACCATCGAATCACAAGGCATCACAGATGTACAGTAGTGGACAGGGAAGGGGGCCTGAGACCACGGGCGGGCCATGCCGGACTGCTGCTGCTGCTGCCGCCGCCACAGCCTCTGTCCAGTCATTCAGCATAGTCCTCATCTCACTATCTTAAAACAATGCCTTTATCCTTTATCCGGCATGGATGGAAGTCAAACTACCCGAAGGCGGAGAGAGCACCCCTCCCCCTCCCCCTCACCCCTTCATCATTGATAACAAACCTGCTTTACTCGAAACACGATCAACTGCTCTAGAATAGATCGACACAGACAATACATCCTGTCAAACTTGTTCTAGCCCGCGCCGCTCCGGGAGAAACCTGGAGGCGACGGAAAATCCTCGAATAACATGTATGTGGCACCAAAATCGCCAATCTTTCCAATCATAAGTAGGATTTCTCTGTCCGCCCGTCCCGGGGGAAGGGCCTGTCTAGACCCCGCTTATCATTGTCGATCTGTGTGCTGGTTGAAATCGTCTCTTTGTGGGGGATGTGATTGGGTGCGATGCGCGCGTGGTGGTGTGGTTTTGGATGCAGTGCAGTGGCTTGGACCCTTGAACTCGTTGCCATGATTCCTTGGCGTTCGATTGGCGAATGGAATGGCAGTCTGGGTGTTTACTAGGTAGGGCTTCTTGCTGGGATTGAGTTAGTATTGTAAATAGACTCTCTGAGTGCCTGCAAATTTGTACTTTGGTGCAAAGAGGGAAATCTAGATTGGGGGTATAGTGCCCTGTGCACATGGCTCTGCCATGTTAGCTTGGGTATACTTAGTATGTATGCAGCTCTCAAATGGTCTTGTTCGTTGCATGTCGAGCATTATTTCCTCACTTTTGTAAGAATATGGAAAGATTGGGGGGGAGGGGGGGTTGCTGGGAGGTTCTTATCAGAACTGAAGATACTCATACAGAGCTTGCAGAGTTTGGCCTCGACGAAAAAGGGTAGGATTTATATCCGCGAGGAGGTGAGAAAGATACGTTACTGGGGCAATGGTACTGGAAACCTTGTAAATAGATAGGCAAGTACGTAGCTTTGAATGAATGGTTGCTCTTCCGACAGGGTTCAGCTCAACATTCGACTTCCTTTTTATGTTCCTCTTTTGGAAGGGGTAGGCATTTCATGATTTTATTTCATGGTTTTGTGATGTCTAGTAACGTATGAAGTCAGTCCAAGCGAAAGTTTTCATACCTTGTTCGATTTGCACCCTCCATTACATGCCGCGCCGGACGCTCGATGATCCGCCTGGAGCGTGCGTGAGACGACTAGGCGCTGAGAGGGCTAGTTTTGAGTTGATATTTTCTGGGAGACATCGACACCGGAGCATGGATAAGGAGAGCAAGAAGAGCAAAGAGTCCTAGAACATGGGTTTGTTTAATCTGTACGGAGATAGGAAGGGCGCAGGGGAGAAGATGTCGTGCGCGTGATATCCTGGTGTGAGTATGTATATCACCCGGCCATTTGGCCACGATTCAGCCAAACCACTTAGCCTCGAATCCAGCCAAATTGCCCATTCTCGTTCATTCTCTATTCTAGTGACTCAGCAGACTGAAAGTCGTATCTTGGGTTAGGACCGAGCGAGGCAGATACACTTTAGCATTCGATGCTAGATAAGACAGTCCTCAGGGGAGAGGACACTGGCTCTGAAATGCTGGAACAGAGATTCAACCATTTGTTGCATAAGTTGACTTGCATGTATGTTTGGGCTAGTACTTAGTGACATACCTAGTCAGCTGATACCGACCTTTTGGACCCCGAGGGAACTTTTCATGCTTGGCATGTTAGCTCATGCCTGTTGTATTGGGAGAAGATGGTGATTGGTTGAGACGTTGGTATGAGAAAGATGAGTGTGGTTTTGGGGAAAGCGGGGCGGGCGGGGATCGGGCCGCAATATAGTTCCATTGGTTGGCGCGAGACGCGGATGGGGAGAAATTCCAGTTCCAACCTTATGTCCCACGAGGTGCTCTTGTCGGGCTATACTTACAATGAGATATCATGAAGAGAGAGACATGAAGCGATGACTATGGTGGCCTCTGAAGATATTGAGGATCTTGGGGGAATTCCATAAGCAGGTTTTGGATAAGAGATATGGATGACTGCTTGAGTAGGACAGGAGTGCTTGGGGTGCTTCGGTGATTAAATGCTTGATTGGAGAATTGAGAGTATCTCGTTTTCCAAAAAAAATAAAAAAATAAAATAAATCTTACACCTTTAGAATATAGAGCGCTAACCGAAATCATCATCCGCAAGTCTTAACCTGATGTTCCTCCACATCCAAGCCGCTGTTTTCTGCTATAGCCTGACTGGTCACAAGCTGTACCCCCCGTCAACCATGAGGCCGGTTCCATAGACAAAACTGCTCATTGGCGATGCCAAGAATAAGATGGCGCTTGCGATCTCCTCAGTCTCCGCTACTCTCTGCACTGGGGCGCTGAGGATCTCTGCAGACAGCTCGCCGGAATCCAGCTCTGACTGAATCAATGAGGTGCGAAACCAGCTGCGGTCAGGTCAGTATCGGAGGCAATCTGGAGAAAGTATTACAGAGCCCTAGATTGATATACACACCCCGGACACACTGCATTTATACGAATTCCCTCTGCGGCGTAAATTCTGGCATCCTTCAAGGTGATGGTGATCAGTGTGGGCTGTTCTTCATGAGCAAAGGAAGTATACTGACCGATTTGGTCAATCCCATAACCGCTACATGATATAGTCAGAAAAGCTTTCCATGCATATATCATTAGTCACAGGGGCCCCTACCATGTTTGGAAGATACATAAGCTGTAGTGGGGAGCATAGTCGACGGCGTCGTAAGTCCCAAGGCCGATGCGATATTGACAATGACTCCTCGGCCTTGGCGGACGTTACGGGGTCTGCCATCGCACAAGTCAGACCATGCAGAATTAACCAAAACCCTCAGAGGCAATGATTGGGAGCCTGGGGTAGACGGGAGAAGAAACTATACTCTTGCGCAAGCATCTGCCGGATAGCAGCCCTTTGGCATAGCCATACCCCGGTCAGGTTAACTCGAATGACTTTCTCCCAGTCCTCCTTGCTCAGGTCGGGCGTTGACTGGAAGGGCTGACCAACGCCAGCCGCGTTGATGACAATGTCCACTCTCTGGAACGCAGCCACGGTCTCTTGGAAGGCGGCCTCAACGGCTGCTTCATCGGTTACGTCCGCCGGCATGATAAGCACCTGCACAGTCGGGTGGCTTGCTTGCAAGGCCTGTTGCACGTGGTCCAGGCCCGACGGGTCAATATCCACTAAGGTCAGTGCTGAAATGCCGTTCGCAGCGAGGTGCAGGGCTGTCTGCTCTCCGATACCTGCCTGTAGAGTCAGACTTGGAGGCCAGTCCGCTTCCAGAAATCGGAGCACATGGTCAGTAAGCTTTCTCTCTTACCCGAGCCAGCTCCGGTGATCAGGGCGGTTCCTTCTACTTGGCACGACATGATGGTTATTGCTGTTGGGCTTAGTTCGTGGAAGGAATCATTTGTCTCGATCTCAGGGTCCTTGCTTTCCGAAGTCATATGTGCGTTGGAAAATAGAGAAGGTGTGTGTGGGAGGGGAAGAAGAGAGAAAAAAAAAAGATAGTAGTATACATGCATTCACTTTACTACTATTCTTACCGACCCTCTTTTCGGACCACCTGACTTCCCGGGCTGAGAAGACTTGGCGGTGTACTGTAACTTGCAGTACATACTAAATTATAGCTGAGCGCACGTCGGCCCAACTACGTGCATGCAGCCGATTAGTCCATTTTTCTGCCGTCACTATCATCACTCATCATCGAGGGAGGATATGTCGACCGAAGCAATCGGTTTTGTTATAGGTAGCATAACCGCTAAATTGTATGCTAGGTTATGACCTTCGGGTAAGCTTCCAATCTGGTAAATATCGGAGTCTAAGACAAGCTACTGGTGGCTAGAATGCAAATAAGAGATGTGCTCTATAATTATGTATTATGGATGGAGGATTCCGCCATAAATTGAAAGAGTACAAGGCAAAGAACCGTGGGTTACTGACCGGACGTGATTGAATTCATTGCTGACTTGACAGCTCCAGCAATAGTTAACGATGTTTTTAGAGACTGCCCTTTGATCTTGAGAGATTTGGTTAATTCCTCTTTTGCCATCGAAAGATTAACGCATGCGTATGTTACTGAAGCCCTAGCTGGCTAAAGGCTGCAGATTGTTGATCTCGAACGCCAACTCAGACGAGATGAGAAAGAAAGTCTGTGGATATAGAAACTGAGGTTTGAGTAAAGCTCGCAGGCCAGAGGTTTATCCGGACACAAAAGGGACATGATGCAATTATGGCGTCTTTCTTCAGGTTGCCAGGTCTGGAAAGGAGATAGTAAAGTCTCGTACAATGGACTGAATGTACAGCCACAGTTTCAATTCAAGCACCACCAGGACTTATACAATGTATGTAGCGGGACCCATCTTATTTCGTTGGAACAGAATACAGAACAAATGATATGTGCCCTTCTGCTAGAATCCCAGTCTGTGAACAGTTCTCGAGCGGGTTGATCCAAGCGGCAGAGGAAGTCCATATAAACACCGTCTTGTATCCCAAGACACCCGGATGTTTGTATCAAATCGACGAGATTCAACCTTTTCGTGAGTGCTATATCTGTCTCGAAACCATTGGTAAAACGTAAGTGACTTCTTGAAACATGGCTGAGTAAGATTCCCGCTGAGATTTCCGAGGCGCAGCGAGAATCTCGCCGTGACCTTGGTGATCAAATTGTGTATTCCCATGTGGCTCGCATCCTCGATCTAAGCAAGATCCCTAACTTCATGTGTGGATACGATGCGCTATCTATCTATGGTGCACCGTTGCACGAGGCTACGAAACGCGACTGGGTGATCCCCGATGAAGCACATCATCAAGGCAGTAAAAGTCTTTACGGAGGCGGGATTTGTGCAGTGTTCACATCGGGACGACATCGAAAGACTTGGCAAGCTCGGGTTGTTGGACAATTTCGACGCTCCCAGTCCCAATCCTTTGGAAGAGCTCGATCCATGCCCCTACAGTATCGACCTCTATCCACCGGACTATCACTTCCAGTTGAAGTTTGACTCGTCTAGCCGTAACCCTCAAATGATAATTTATACACCGACACGTTCTATTAATCTCTACCGCAAGTCGCGGCTCTTCCCGACATTTCCGATCCCGCCCATTGGCGCTCTCCCTCGCGATGATCCATACTATCCGCTCACGTCGGACGACCGCATTCGGTTGTACTCTCACGACGATGGTTATTTGCCCGGGGGCGTCAGTCTTATCACGAGGCCTGTCATCCCGTGAAGATCCCTCACTTGGCCCGCTGGGTGGAGGCCCACCAGTCGCGGATTCTTCGCAACCTGCCAGGGGCGGCGTTCACTGATGGTGATGTCATGGGCGTGCGCTGGCTGCATAGATACATGATGCTGCTGGTGCGGTACCGGATGAATGTGGATATCACGGAGCTATCGGAGCCTTGGCGCACGTTGACGGTCCTGTGGCAGGAGGTTTCGCCGGAGTATGACAATCCTTGTCCGAACCACCGTTCTGATATGAAGCCGCATGATAGCGACTACCACCAGTACTTGTACCAGCTATGCATCGACATGAAGAGACGCGGAGAGCTTCCACCGCCGGACGGAGAACACCAACATGGCCGCAAAGCGTTTGGGTCATCGTTAAAGAGGCTTGGCATTGAATACAACTCCGCTGATCTGGAATAAGTAGGCCATGGTCTGTCTGTCCCTTCAAGGATAGGTCCTTCAAGGACAGGGCAGATACATTAAGGACGAGCTCCCTTGCCTACGTCCAAGATGCGAGCTCGTGTACGCTCATTATCTCATTTTCTCTTTATCATCAAATGCATTTGAAGCTACTAGAGTTTTTAGTTTGATTGTGAGTCCGCAGTATCCCAGTATCGCGAGTACTCTCACCTATGCTGGTTATAGTTGTTGCTATCATCAATCTATACGCGAGCAGATTGATTACTTTTATGACGACACCTGCGAGAGAGGTGGAAGATTGCTTGGATTTGGACTACGTCAGGCTATTTGCGAGGAGCTAGCTAAGGCCACTGAGGTGGGCGGTGAGCGGCAGCCTGGGCGAGGCCGCAGGACCGCCGTCACTTTCTTGATGCTATTAGAGGCAGCCAAGTAAGTAAGGTAGACGCACCACTCGCTCAATTTTCGCAGGCGATAGCAGCAGGCCGGTCCTGTGACACTCTCTTTAGTCCACCTTCCTTCCTCAATTCCTCTCATGCTCATGCTGCCACCTTCGACACTTCACTCGCTACTACGCCAAGGAAAGAGCTTATTGTGGGCTTTGGAAATTATGAACGACGGTAACTGCGCACAGTACAGCATGCTATGAGGAAAAGCTACCATTTAAACGTGCCTTTGTGACCATGGTCAAGTCGAGACAGGCGCTTCCTTTTCCTAAACAGGAAACACTCAGATATTCCGCAACCAAGCTCGGTACTTGAACAAATTGGTTAGGGCTCGGCATCCAAGGATTGATCGTCGTTGAGACCGCCATCCATCGAGAAAAGAACACGATCATACCATCGGAGCGGTGAAAATCACCCACCTAAAATTGATCGACTGGAGAAGGAATGTGATCCGTTTCTCTATGTCGATGCGTTGCTTTCCAACAGAGCTTCAGCAGACATTCCTTATTATTGGGGACATGATTGGAGACTCACATGCACACGCTTGGCTCATTTCCAGTTCTACTGGTCATCATAAGACTATTCCGTGCCCAGCTTCCCTAAGAGGTTGAAGACCTAACCGTCCTGCCCTGCCGAACGAGCGGTTTGCTCTGTGTGGCCCAGGAAAAAAGCAAGTTTATCCACTTGCCTGGCTAGTCAGACTTGAAACTGTAACTTGAATACTGATCACCCTTAGCGTGTGCCGAATGGCCGTGGATTCCAATAAGGATTGTTCTTTCAGACCAGGCTCTTTGAGCTTCCCTCCTTACATTGTCTTCCCGAAACATGGCAGCAGCGCGCTGCGTTGTTCCCAGGTACTAACAAGCTACATGAGCAATATCCTTTGATATTTGTCGTTTTTCAGATAGAAAAAGGTCGTCCTTCAAATCTGGCGACAGTAATAACCAATAACCATGAGCAGTTTTGGGTGCAGACTACATGTAAACAAGCCATCGCCAGGTATTATGATGCCCTACACAAAGATCTTTCTGGGAAGTTTGCAGATTTCCCCTCTGCGCGAACCCGAAGCTTCGTCGTCCGGCTCTGGCTTCAAGCTGGAAACACTCTTTGTAACGATTTTCAATACTTGGGGTTGTACAATGATCTACCTATCTACCTAACATGCCAAATCTTGGGGCCAGCAAGCACTCGAGTCAATCGGTCTTGGAAATGATCCGGATCCTCATCATACCGCTCTTGTCAGCCTACCTGCTAACATTGAAGATTTTATTCCATCAACTCTGAAGAACCGCTGCCCGGCGCAATCGCAACCATACTCGGTACTCAACGAATCAATTTGGATCATCCACATCCCACCTGGAGGGCCGCGATTGTCTCTTCCGTTGTGGAGGTGGCCTTACCTAGAACTGGATTCCAAGAGTCCCTATTCCTCTTCCGCACGAACTTGACCATAAGCGATATAGTATATCTTCTTCTCCTTGAAGGAGGCGGGATTCTTCTCTCCACGCCTCATGGTTTATGCAATAAGCACGACTGCCGTTCTTTGTCTTCCCATCCAGCGTTGATGGCGCCAGCTCTGTGCTGAATTATCTGACGACGTGGGTTCGTGTTCTTGTTCTCGCAAGAGCTGCGCCAGGGGAGGGGGGAGGTTGATGCGGTGAGGAGACGCGTCTCCTGGGGTCTGAAGGATCTGGTATTGTGGTCTTGCTGGGAGGGAGGAATGGAAATGATTTCTCGATTGAGGGCTTGGTGTGGATCAAGGGGCATGATGTCTGGGGGGAGGAAGGGTCGATTGCTTGGTTTTGCTGGTTTGTTTTATTAGTCGGGTTTGTGGTCAGGGTTAAATTTATGATGGTTTTGCTTTGGGAAGAGGGATTTGGTCTGATGTAAGGTCAGGGTTAAATTTATGATGGTTTTGCTTTGGGAAGAGGGATTTGGTCTGATGTAAGGTCAGGTTGTGTGGTCGTTGTGACTGTAAGAGTCCCCCGGATTTGAAAGTGATTGATCAAGAATTAAAGTTGATCAGGAAGGAAAGAGGACTCGGTGCTTGGGTGGGTCTGGTTTGTGGTGGTGGTTCGAGAGATATTGTACTGTAGGTGGGTGGGCTTGATTGTTTGGTGGTGGTTCAGGACTAGAGGGCGATATGATGGCTATACTTAAAGGTGACAATGTCGATGATCTAGGTGATGTTAGATCTGGTGCTTTGTCTGCCTATCATCATAGGTATAGGCATTGGAGATGCATACTACTTGTTCATACTGTTCGGTTCTAGTTGTTGAGTGTTCACGTGAGAGGACTTGGGGGCTGCTGCTGCTACATGGTAGCTGAATGGCAATACTTCTGGACCCAGCGTGAAAAAGCAGTTGGGGAAGGGCTGTAGGAGTTTTGGAAGCAGATTACTATCTTCATGA